AAAATCACAGCAAGAATCAGCCCATTTCGTTATGCAGTGTCAGAACCAGAACAGTATGTACTCTTCCATACATTTCTAACAGTCATATCTGTATTCATTGCCTTATGCATATTTTCACACAATACATTCATACTTTCGTGCCTTTGCCTTTGTAGCTATCCGCATTTAGTATACCTACTTTCTTTAAACTACTTTCTAACTTTGGCCCGCGACTCCGTCCGCGTGCAATTAAAAAAAACAAAAGCGAGTAGCCTATGTGTTTTTCCAGACTATCCTCTACATCTATGCAAAATTTCATCAAGATCCGTTCAGCCGTTTAGGCTACAAACTATCACATCCATCCATCCATCCAAACTTTCGCATTTATAATATTAGTAGTAGGTATATTAAATTAATTGTGAAGTTTGAAAGAATGTTACTACGTATCTCCAAAATTTGATCGTGGTAAAGCACTAGCTTAACAAGTATTAAAAAAATGTCGAGGATTAAGTTCATATTCTAGAACACATATCTTACTTTTATTTTAATTGTGCGTTACGCAGTCGTGGTCTAAAGCCAGTATTATAAGATGCCTTACATCCCCATTTACCAATTTAAAATTATATATTATAGTTATGTGGGTGACTAGTCTAAAATTAACTTCACTGGTGAAATTAATAATAGAAATATTTCAAAGTAAGAAAAGAAATTTAATATCACAATTGTGGGAACTGCTCGTAAATAACTACTTCAATGAAATATGTAAAACCCCTACAAAGGATTCCAATTCAAAGCACTACTGAAATATGTAATAAACTGGGGTCTTTGCCCTTTCATTGCCCGTTGCCGCATTAAATATGTATTTATTACTTTGATTTTTTTATAAAGACATTTCCAATGGCTATCAAGAACCTTAGGTTTCAAGAGAAATAATTCATTCTTATTTTTATCATTTAACTAGCTGTTGCTTGCGACTCCGCCCTCGTGAAATTAAAAAATATAGCCTATGTTACTCACAGATAAATTACCTTTCCAACAGTGAAAGAATTTTTAAAATCGGCCCAGTAGTTGAGTTATTTCAATACATACAAAAATACAAATTTTTTCTCTTTATAATATTAGTATAGATAAGTGTAGGCCTATATCTACATATACTCCTATCATAAAGAGGAAAGATTTATATTCTTCTATTTTTGTAAGTATTGAAATAACTCAAAAGCTACTGGGCAGATTTTAAGAATTCTATCACCATTAAAAACTGTTATCAATGAGTAACACAGGCTATATTTTTTAAGTAAAGGTATATAATAGGTACAAGAAGGCTTGGAGTACTAATAAATTTACTGCCCTTAAAATGTTTCTACTAGCATTGTAAGAGAAGTCAAGAAAATTGCGCTTTTTTGACACAGGATCAATTACTGGTTCATTTACTTTGTCTTCTAATTTACGTCGAACATTTTCATTTATCACTTTACTTTTGACATAATACAAAAATAGAAATTAGATTTACTTATCAAAAGTCCAGGTTTTCAATAGCATGTAATTTTAAATTCCATGTATAAGAGGGATGTTATTCTCCAGGACTACACATTTTCGAAATTGAGTTTTGAAAAACAAAAACTCTAGCAATCTAGTAAGGCATTAAGTATAGTCAGATTTAAATTTAAAAAAATGATTCAAACGTTTATTATTACTAGCTGTTGCCCGCGATTTAGTCCGTGCAGTATTAAGATAAAAAAGTAGCCTATAATATGCCCGTCTATATCTGCTACTCTTCATTGCATTCCAGTCGAAATCGGCCTAGTCGTTTCGGAGATTACCCGGAACATACGCGCCTTGCGACTGACTAAAAATATTTAAATGTAATTTTCGTTATCAGCGACGCAAATACATCTTTCCGAAATCTGGAATTTTTTGGAACAAAGATCCAATCCAATTGTATCATATGTATAGATAGCTATAGAATATATTGTTATATTTTTATTTATTGGCATGATTTGATACCAAAATAAACATGTAAAAACTCAGTAGCTTACCTTAGTCGGTATGTATTCGCCAGACAAATTTGGGTTCGAATTCCAAAAAAAAAGATTAAAAAGAAACGTCTTTTTAATGTAAAATTAGATTAGTTTATTTAATTAATATTATCTCTACTTGATTTAAAAAAAGTTTTGAATTTCAACCCACAATATTAAGAAGTTTTTGTTTTTTTTTCTAAATTAAAATATTTTGTTTTTTGGGATTAGGGTATGCCCCAACGTATTATTTACATCCAAATGTGTTACGCATTAGAAACATTCGTTTTAAATGTTTTAACGCATAGTTCGTTAAATAATTAATGTTAAAACTTATTATAAGTATATACATAAATTTAATTACAGTTCTGTTTGTTACATACCACTTAATGTTGATATTTTCTCCAGCAGTACATTTTTCGAGATCTTCGTGATATTTTGAGATAAAACTTCTGTATAAAGGTTTGTTATTTAATGTATTAGAAGTACTAGGAAACAGACAACACTTTAGAATTACCAACAATAGTATAGAAATGGGATAACAGTTTAAAAATTCAATCTAAAAGAATATTTACACTGCTCATTTACTTGGAACAATGTGCGCGCCTGTTGATTTATAAATGCAACCGGTTATAGAAATACTTTTTAAATTATTTTAGAAGGCGCTTGATTGAAGTAGTAATTTTTTAGATTTAATTTTATAGAAACGTTTTATTCAGTCATGGTTATGAGCCGTGTTATTTATTTAGGGTTTGCTAAAGATGGTGAACGACGTCCTACACGAAGACGCCAGTTCGACTGGCGAGTGCCCGGCGAGCACGGAGCACCTGTTAGCTGGATCGACCGCGCGCGTGCGTGCCCCTGTGACGTACATCACAATCCATAGAATTAAGTACGATTTAGAAATGGACAAGAGAATTAACTTATCAATTTTAAATTCCTTGACAATATTTTATTCCATTACATTTACCGATATCAGTACATATTTAATTCTTTATTGCTTTTTCCGCTTTTCTTTCTTTAAAATAGAGTAACATTTAATTCGTGCAGAATATAGAGATGTTTGTAATCTGCTGATTTAATTAGCCATGATGTAGCCAAACAATATAGACATTTTTTATTACGGAATGTCTTAAATCGTCGTAACTCTGTATATAATCAACAGACAACGGCGTCGAGGTATTAAAACTCTTGCGGCCTATCTCCGTCGCACAAGCGCTTTGTGCTCGCTATGGCCACCAGCCGCCGGCAGCCACGGCCGCACCGTTAAAAGATCAAACAACACCCGGCCTGACGTATTATGTGAAAAGCGCTCGACACAAGGCTCCCGGGCTTTGTGATGGAAAATTCTAAATAACTTTGTTGAATTCATCTTTCTACTCAAATTTCTACGCAGAATTCATCTTGATACTAAATATATCGTTAATAGGTGCAAAGATGGAATTTAGTTTAGGCCCCAAAAAAATAAGGCATCTACGCAATATGGATCTAATCTTATAATTCTTAAATCGTAGCCTGATTTTGAACTATTAAAAAACTACTAAATGGTACTTGCTAAAACTTTTTCTATTGGCTGTAGTTCTACATTCTTCTATGCAGTCTTCTGTATTTCTGTAAACAAGTCGTGATTATTGGTGATTATCATACCCACTGACCCACTTCTCAAGCCGTCATTGACCGCTGCCTTTTTGCACATCTCTAAAGTAGCATTTATCACGTCATTATAACGTTAATTTCAATAACAAAACATCCAAGCCTGTTTGGTGATAAGAAGACTTAAAGACTCGATTTTCCACATCGATTTCTAAACGAATCTGTCAAATCAAGTGACATTTAAACGTCAAAAAATTATGTTTTCATTTCATGAATAAATTCAATCTGAATTACAAAAGACCGAAAGGCTCTGGTGTAATCATTTAGTTTTTATTATTTCATTACTCTCAAAAATTCCAATGGTAATTTAGAGAAAGTGCAGTGAAAATAATAATTCACCGACATTTTTTTGTGTAATGCGTAAAATTTAAAAGGTGGAGAATGGCGTCAGGATCAAAAAATGATATCGTAAACCGTTTGTTAAATGTAAGACTCGAAGGTGGCGGTGATGAACAGCCGCCACAAAATATGCTGCCGTCGAATCAACTGGCGCGTCGTTTAGAAAACGTTGCGGACGAAGACAATGGCCGAATTCCCGAAGCTATACCGTCATCTTCATCGGCGATAGAAAATTTGCAACCGAGCAACAATACGGGTCGCTTGCATAACTGGCAGGCGACAAAAACTACTGTAAAAGAGAGGTTGTCATTTCTTTTTAATAACGAGATTCTTTCGGACGTCCATTTTATTGTTGGGAGAGACGCGAATCAACAAGTGATACCCGCGCATAAGTTTGTCCTGTCAGTTGGTAGCGCGGTCTTCGACGCTATGTTTAACGGTGTATTAGCCACAAAATCAGAAGAGGTGGAACTGCCTGATGTCGAACCGGCAGCTTTCTTACATCTTCTGAAGTTTTTGTACTCTGATGAAGTGCGCATTGGGCCTGAGAGTGTAATGACAACATTGTATACCGCTAAGAAGTATGCTGTGGCTGCATTAGAGGAGCATTGTGTTGACTTTTTAAAGAGCAACTTGGGTACAGACAATGCGTTTCTACTGTTAACACAGGCTAGATTGTTTGATGAGCCCCAGTTGGCTGCATTGTGTTTAGAAATGATAGATAAAAATACAGTGGATGCGTTAAATGCTGAGGGATTTACGGACATTGATCAGGATACTTTAAATGCTGTATTAGAAAGGTAATTAAGTGTATAGCTTTTGACTAAATATTACATTATTAACTCTTGTACTACATTATCAATAACTAATTAAGAATGGCTTAACTCATGATTAATACAATGATGATGCAACATGCAACACTGATAAAAATTAGAATACTAACATGCTCTGGAGGTGAAGCTCGAAAGGTTCAACATCTAATTGCTGCCATCACGGGATAATCGATACTAATATTTAGGAAAGATTTGTTATTTTGTATGTATTGAAACAACTAAACAACTACTGGGCTGATTTCAAAAATTCCTTGATTGCTTTTTTATTACTTTTTTAAATTCACGGGGACAAAGTCACAAGTCATATGTATATTAAGCCATTCTTAATCAGTTTTTGACAATATTGTACTAATATTAAAAATGCGAAAGTTTAGATGGATGGATGGATGTTTGTTACAGTTGTAGACTCAATGGCTTATAGGCTATAAGCCATCTATATGAAGAAGATTCCTTTCCATCATTTTCTTAAGAGGAAAGGATGGGAAGGAAAAGTTAATTTGACAGTGGAGGAGATGCATAGAAAGGGGAAATGTCCTCTTTATGTGCGTCTCCTCCTCCGTCAAATAAGGGTAGGCAATGCATCTGCAATTGCGGATGTTTATAGGCAGCGGTCACTCTCCATTTCGATGTATTTAGGTGGCTGCTTGCTCGTTTGCCACCTTATATTATAAAAAAAAAGATAGTTTGGAAGACCACATAGGCTACTCAATTTTGTATTTTTTTAATTCCAATAATCGCGCGTAGAAACTAGTTAATAACTGAGAGTATTAACAATTCTTACTTGTTTCAAAAGTCTATTTTTGTATGCCATTGGTTTATGTAAATGTGACCTCAATATTTGCTACTTGAAATATTTAAAATTCAAATAGACAATTGAATGTTAAATCTATCTTTCAATTCGACTATTTATTGTCTGAAATTTTTTTTATAATATAAGGTGGCAAACGAGCAAGCGGCCACCTGAATCGGAAAGCGACCGCTGCCCTTAGACATCCGCAATTACAGATGCGTTGCCTACCCTTAATTAACGGAGGAGTATACGCATATAAAGGACATTTCCCCTTTCTATGCGCCTCCTCCGTGAAATCCACTTTGTTTTCCAATCCTATCCTGTTAAGAACAGGGTGGAAAAGGGAAAGAGACTAAAATAAGGCCTCCTATATAGAACTATGCTACTAAAGATTGGTTAGGAATATAAAAATAGCTTAAGTAATTTTTAGCTCTAAATGATGATACTTCTATTGATGTTAACGTCTTAAAATATGACCATTTGTTTGCATTTCCAGGGACACTTTACGTATAAGAGAGGCTAAAATATTCTCCGCAGTACTCCGTTGGTCGGAAGCGGAGTGCATACGTCGCCAGCTTCCAGTGACCCCTGGCCATCAGCGCGCTGTACTAGGCCGGGCGTTCAACGCTATCCGGTTTCCACTGATGTCTGTCGAAGAATTCGCTATGGGTCCTGCACAAAGTGGATTACTTGACGACCGAGAGATAGTGCAACTGTTCCTATATTTTACGGTGAACCCTAAACCTAACGTAGGATTCCTAGATACGCCTAGATGTTGTATGACAGGGAAGGAATTAACTGTGAATAGGTTTCCGCAAACTGAATCAAGATGGGGTTATAGCGGGACCTCGGATAGAATAAGATTTACAGTCAATCAAAGGATTTTTGTAGTCGGTTTTGGACTCTATGGATCTTATTTTGGACCAACAGAATATGAAGTACATTTACAAGTAAGTATGCTTTTATTAAAACCTAAGAGAGTAAAAAATATAGAGTAGGCAAAGTTAACTTCACTTGAATTGTTTTTCACAATCACACTAATGCTATCTTTTGATACATTCTCAAAGCCACATGTCAATATAATTATTAGTGTTTAAATTGCAAATGTTTTTTTTTTAATATTTATATTCACTGTTAAATTTATTTTATCAAATGATGGTACTTGATAATATTTTAAAATGTAAAGTTAACATGTTAGCAGTGCAGGGCCGGCACGCCCCCCACGCCCGGTGTAACACCACGACCACACAGAAGACAGGTGTGAAGTGGAAGCAATTCCGTGTTTCGTCTGATGAGTGTGGTGCCACAGGCCTAATTTAAGTCCCTTTCTCTTTACCACCCTTTTCTTATAAGGAGAGGTTGGGAAGAGGAAGTGGATTTTACGGTGGAGGAGATGCGTAGGAAGGGGAAATATCCTCTTTATGTGCGTCTCCTCCTCCGTCGGATAAGGGTAGGCAACGCATCTGCAATTGCGGATGTCTATGGGCAGCGGTCGCTTCGCCATTTTGGCGGTTTCAGGTGGTCGCTTGCTCGTTTGCCACCTTATGTTATATAAAAAAAAAGTGGCACTAAACTTCACAAGTGATATATGTAGTACCTTTCAGAAAAAGTACCGGTGTAAAAATGTTCACTATGACGGCTTGTTCCTGTAACCTAAGTTTACCTAACCAGTTAGGTAACAAGATTTTTTTTTCAGTAACGACGTAACCAGTCAAGTTTTTTTGCTAGGGTGGGTACACTTTGCTAGTTTCATGCCATCAATCCCATTTTAAAACGATCAGCTATCGACTTCAAGACCACATAGCTAGCGCAATTTAATATCGATCTAATTGACATTTTACGTTTGGATTCGATTTTTATTATTTAAGTCCCGGAATTTATCTTGCCACATCCACAATTTTTTTTTATACCATAAGGCGGCAAACAACCAAAATTGGGCGTCCATCACGCAAAAATGCAATTAATAATAGTAATAGTGATAGATGGCCCGGAAAATAGAGAAGTATACGCACCCTACGGGTTACGAAAACGGAAAAAAATTCTTGTTACCTAACTGGTTAGGTAAATTTAGTTAGGTAAACGGAACAAGACACTATGTCTAGTCTGTATGTTTTTTTAAACTAATAAAAAAGTCTTATGAAGTCTATGGCACTCAGTGATCATATGTTATGGTACAATATATATAAAAATACTTATTTTTCCTATATTAAAGTGATATTAAATTGCGTAATTTATTCCGTAGATTATCCACTTAGCGACAAAGAAAGTGTGCGGATCAAATACAACGACGTTTTGCTGTGATGGGACCGATGACACTTTCCGTGCAATGTTCAAAGAACCAGTTGAAATATTACCTAACACCTCTTACATCGCCAGCGCAAAACTAAAGGTAATATATGCACTTTTCTTTTATTTTTTTTATATCATAAGGTGTCATATGAGTAATGGCCCCCTGAATCCGCCAAATTGGCGAAGCGACCGCTGCCCATAGACTGCAATAGCCGATGCGTTGCCTACTCTTAATTGACAGATGAGTCGCACATAAATATTTCCCCTTCCTATTTATCTCCTGCACTGTCAAATCCACGCTCCCTTCCCATCCTCTTATAAGAAAAAGGATGGGAAGGAAAAGGGACTAAAGTTGGGCCTCCAGCACCACACTCATCAGACTACGAGGAATTGCTCCCACTTCACGCCTGTCTTCTGTGTGGTCATGGTTACACCGGGCGAGCCGGCCCTGCAGTGCGAAAATGTTAAAGCGGACTCTACCACTGTCAATTGTGGTTGACTATGGCCTAAATATCCCTTATTAGGGTAGGCTCCTATCCCCTCAGTGAGGACGTAAGCTGGTGATGACGAAATGGTTATTCCGTATATAAATTTCCAGTCCGTTCCCAGGGAACAGACTCGTACTACGGCACGAAGGGTCTCCGGCGTGTTATTGTCGACGGCAATAACGGCGAAAAGGTCGTATTCCAGTTTTCATACGCCGCTGGGAATAACAACGGCACTTCGGTGGAGGATGGACAGATACCCGCCATTATTTTCCACATATAATATATGCTTGTCACCCTCAATACACCCTCTCAGCATATCAAATGTGTATTGTGTATGGTGAATGACTAAAACATCATTCTTTTCAATCTGAACTGGTGAGTAATGAAAGTAGAAACTGAAGGTCATGGAATGTCTTTTGTATAGTGAATGAATGACTGAAACATCATTCTTTTCGATCTGAACTGAAGAGTAATGAAAGCAGAAACCGCAGTCATAAAATGTCTATTGTATGGTGAATGAATAATAAGTCTAGCTTGAGTCCCTGTCAGCTCCGGAAGTAACATGCAGATTCTTCTATATGGTAAATGAATGACTGAATGGTTTGAAACTTCATTCTTGTGTCTCTTCGGTTTATCAAGATTAAGAAATAGAAACCACAGTCATGAAATACTGTGTGTATGGTGAATGAATGATTTAAATTGTCATGAAGTCCCTAAATTCGCTGAAATATATATAGAAACTGTTGTTCTTTTTAAATGTCTTGTGAATATGGTGAATGAATGACTGAATGGTGTCTTAAAGTGGAATGCAATCGAGGATCCTCATGCACTGACTGAGAGGGTGACGCTAATCTCATGTGTGGTGAATGACTGATTGATAAGTGAACGAGGGAATAAAAATAAGCTTAAAACATACATCTGTTTCTGAGTTCTAAGAGAATAATTTTATTTTACGAGATTTTATGTATGGAAAATATATTAAAAGCCCAAATTGTTAATTAAAATCAATTTTCTAACACTCATGTCTGAAAAACTTTGTATATTTAAATTTAAAAGATATAGTGAATGGTGAATTGAATGAACGATTTAAAAACAACGCAAACGCCCAAATTAATTTGACTTATAATCTCTGTAAAATGTATTATTCTTTGTTTATTTTCTGTTAATGATATGAAATATTTAAATGGCGTTCCTTAAAAAAAAATAAGTTGAAACAGCAGAATTGGTATTTTTATGATTGATGAAAGTTTAAGGGCCTGTCCCACCACTGGCTGATAGAGGTTCAGATAGCTTAAAAATGAACCACTGTCTGATAAGGTAACAAAATCCGATATTTCCATCACATATTACGTGTTGGATTGTTATCAGACTTATCAATTATGTGGGACAGGCCCTAAATGTATTTTTTTATTAATGGTGCTAATAAAATATTGTTTCTGATAAATTTCAAAATATAAAATAAAATAATTCTTAGCAATGTGAGTGCAGGACACTACAAAACCTATTATTGATTTCAAAGTATAAAATTTATAATTTTAAATTATTAAATACTAATCAAAATTGATTATTTTAAATATCTGCTTATCCTTAGAATGGGCTCACATTAGACTAAACAATCGCACGACGGTCGTGCGATAGTCGATTGACTCGTAGCCTCAACAGTTTAGTTGCAAAACTAAACAAGGAGTAGTGTAACCTCAATATAAACTCATAGGAATCAAAGCGACTAAACAGTTGTGCGATAGTTTAGTTACAAATTTCATAGTTTTGTTGTCTATCAGATTGTAAGGGTCAATGAAGCAAAGTATTTAGTTTTTAGCTAATTTTCTGTACTTTGTCGTAATATTTTAACGTTATTTTTATTTTAATAAAATACATGTTAAAAAGCGTGTTTAGTAATTTTTTAGTATGTAAAATGTATAGTATTTGAGGATTAGTATTAAAATTAAATAAAATTAGGTAAATATTCAATTATAATGTACGTAAGATACGGATTTCTTACCACGATTGAATTATTTTAGCTACCGATATATCGATCGATGTTTTTTTTTCTTACACTACTCGCATCACTTCGGTCAGAACGTGAACATGGCGCATCTGTGCCTAAAACAATGCAATCGTAGTAAGAAACCTGTATCTTACGAATATATGTAAAAACCACGATAGTTTAAAGTTAATTCAATTGAAATTAGTGTAGTGTTTCCCCTAGTCTTAGTGTAAATGAAAATTTTAATTATATCAACTCACCTTCTGTTAAGAGAACCGTATTTTTTCTAAATTTTATATTATACAGACAGTTAATTAAAATGTAGATTGTTGTAAATTTTAAAATACTTTTAGTGGGAATAGATTTTAACTCAATAAGTATCGAGTCATGTTTTATAGAAAAATTAACTATAGCCATAACCCAACCAATTGAATATTTAAAAATTAATAGTTTAGCTAATTCTTTCTTAAAAGTAACATAATCAAGTAAATTGTTTGTCCAAATTGTTGTTGAAAAACTATTTTTTTTTACATTGAATATATCTGAAACTAATTGTTTATTCTATAAAATTCTTTTCCAATGTTCGCCTTCCGTCTCTTTCCAGTTTTTATTTACACGTTTCTTCTAATTCTAATCTTTCTAGAATGTTCTTCCAAATGTTTTATGTAATCGATATGTGAATCGAAAATATTAACTCACATATATGGATTTATGTACTTTTAATTTCTTTAGATAATCTGTGATAGATATAATGTAAGATTTTAAAATAGACACATAAATAATTTACTAAAAACTTATGTATTTTCCCATTTCTTTTAAATGTTGTATGTCAATAAAATTTAATCCATAATTTGTTATAGCGCCATCTAGCGAAATTTAGAGGTACTTAGTAAATTGGCTATGAAAGTACCTTAAAAATGTACAAGATGGCGCTGTAAAATGTTTTTAACATCACGTGTCTATAGTTTAAGAATTTAAAAAAAATGTATTCGTGTATTGTAATATTTGTATATTGTTTAAAATCATTGAGTGGATTAATAGAGAAATAATAAGGAATAAATTTTGGTAACCAAATAATTTACGTCGCATATTTTTTTTATTTGAAAATATTTTTGAAATTGACAGTTTTTTATAAGACTGGGATTGTTATATTTTTATATCCAATAGTATTTAGTAAAATATCTTTTTTGTTACAAATTTTCTATTTTAATCGATTCTATTTCAATTGTATTATCTGTGTAAAATAGTTGTTAAAAATTAGTTAAAAACCTATTTGTTGACTTCATTGGTTAATTTTATTTACATTTATAAATAAAAATTTAGTTCCTAAAATCACAAAACAACTCATTGTCTCAATTTATTTCTTCTAGTCAAAACTAAATTGGTCTGTTTCGAAATTCACTGCATTTTATTTGTGTAAAAAAAATCCTTAGAGAATTTAATTATTTCATTTTTTATCATTTATACATTAAATAAATTTATTTCCCATCCATACATAAGGATAAGAATATGTATTATTTCGTGTGAATCTGAATGTAATCGGAATTGAACAATTTGTCTTAAAAGTGTATATTTTTATTAGTAAAAAATGTTATTTTAGATGTTTCAATAAATTGATAGAAAATATATATTTTTTAATTCTAGTTAGTAATACCTATTCTCTCTAGTCTAACTAATCGACAGGAAAATATTAAACACTGGCTTTCGCCGCGACTCCGTCTGCAAGGAAAAAATAACAAAAGTAAATAGTCTGTGTTCTTCCAGACTATCCTCTACATCTATGTCAAATTTCATCGAGATCCGTTCAGCCGTTTAGGCTACAAACTAACAAACATCCATCTAAACTTTCGCATTTATAATACTAGTATGTTAACAAATTTTAAAGAATTCTTTACAAATCTTAAACAAAGCGGATTAAAAACAGAAAAACGACAGGATTTAATGAAACTCCACAATCTTGTTATATTTCTTTAATTTTCGATATCAGTAAATAATAAAAATGCATCGAAAACAAATCAGGAGCAACCCATCTTCTCTTGCCATTCAACATGTCTTTTAGCAAGCTCTTTTGACACCGGCTTGGTCTTGTTTATGGCTGCTAATATATCTGCCACATCAAGACGTTCTTTGCGACCGGACTGACCTGGAATCAGACATTTAAAATATATAGACTAGGCAGAGTGAAATGGCATGCGGTTTTGAGGATCTATCAATAGATGGCGTTAGTGACGTGAAAAATGTCTCAAGTGAAATATCAACAACGCTTACTATATTTTAATTTAATTTATTTACAACTAGCTGTTCTCGTGCGGCTTCATCCTCATGCAATTATAAAAACTTTATTTTATTGTTTACATTTGTCAAATTATTGTCAAATGTCAAAATTCAAATACACAAATGACAACGAAGGCCTTTGACATTGGATGACAATTACTTTTACCAGCAATCTTGTTTCCTTGACGTCAGCTTGTAGTTTTTGTCCCTTTCCCGCATAATGGTTTTTTTCCAAATTATTTAATTCCGTAATATCGTAAAAATATATAGCCTAAAGCGTGACGTAAATAAAGGGCTTTTTTTTTTATTAAAAATAGACTTATTCGAAAATATGGTGTAATTGCTGACATCTTAAGCAACAAAGAAGTGTGTGTTTACGTTTTATTATAATAGTATAGATAAAGATTATTAATAAGATTAAAGTCATATCATACTTAATATTATAAATGTGAAAGTTTAGATGGATGTTTGTTAGAGTTTGTAGCCAAAACGATTAAACGGATTTCAATGAAATTTGGCATAGATGTAGAGAAAGTCTGGAAGAACACATAGACTACTTGCATTAGTTTTTTTTTAATTCCGCGCGGAAAAAGTCGCGGGCGAAAGCTAGTTGTTTATAATTGACCAGTTGTAACCACACTTACTTCTCGCCACCATATTGGGCAACATCTTCCTAACGTTAGTCATAAGAGCCTCCTTGCAGACCAGCTTTATCTCGCTCCCCGAGTACCCCTCAGTCTTGGCAGCCAACTCCTGGAAGTTGACCTTCGGGTAGACCTCCACAGTCCGCACATTTAGGTACATCTCGAAGAGTGCAGCGCGCGCCTGTACGTCCGGTAACGGTATGTAGATCCTCTTCTCTAGGCGTCGCAACATCGCTGTATCGATTTCCCTGATTAAAAAAAATAACTTCGTATAGAACTAATTAAAAAGTATTATAAATCTAACTGAAAAATATAAGAACTAAAGTACTAATAACTAGTGTTATTAGCACATTAAAAACAAAGCAGGGTAAAAAAAATCTAGAAAGACGAATAGATGCAGTTTAAACTCTCTCGGAACACTTCTGATGATTTCAGAGAATAAAATAAATAAAATAAAATAAAACACTATTTATTGACCAAAAAAATATAAAAAAATAACACAACCTACAAAACATATTACTGAAATAACAAAAATAAAATCTTGGCCAAAAGGAGAAGGCTGAGCTGACGCGGCCTCCAGCTTGTCACTAAAGGCCTCGCTGTTTTTCAGCCTCCCCTTAACTACTATTACATGGTTCAGTTTACGGTACAGGTGGCAGATAAAATATGATATAAGCCAGCATTGCACTCAGATGTGTGTGTGAAAAACTTGAGCCTCAAGATATCCCACAAGGATTTGTCAACTATTGTTATTTACCAAGGCATATTAGAGTTGGCGAGCAGGAAGACCAGTCCGTCTCTATCTCTGACGCCGTCCAGTTCAGTAAGCAGCTGCGACTTAAGCCGGCGGCTGGCCTCGTGCTCGCCAGCGCTGGAACGCTCCGACACCAGCGTCTCCACCTCGTCCATGAAGATTATTGACGGGGAATAGTAGAACGCCATCTCGAACAACATCTACAAGTAGAAAAGACTAGCTGTTACACGCGACGTCTACCGCGAGAATTTAAAAAAGGAATAAAAAAACCATATCCCATGTTACTCACTAATCACTAATAACATAGCTTTTTAATGGTGCAAGAATTTTTAAAATCGGCCTGGTTTTTGAGTTAATCTATACTATTATAATAAAGCGTAAACACACACTTCTTTGTTGCCTAAGATGTCAGCAATCACTGCATATTTTGGAATAATTCTTTTTTTAAACAAAAGCCCTACACTTACGCCACGCTTTAGGCTATATATTTTCACGCCGTTAAGCTTAGGGGGTAAATATTTTGGATAAATACCCTAATGTGGGAAAGACAAAATAAGTTGCTGCCAACAACAAGAAAGGAAGAATGCTATGGTTTGTCATGTCATTTTTACATTTGCTATTGATAATTTGACAAATGTAAACAATGAAATAAAACTGTCATGCGGATGAAGCCGCACGGGAACAGCTAGTTCAAAATATAAAAAAATCCAAAAGTACTAATCTTTCCTCTTTATTATAATACATGAGTATAGAAACGAAGATCAATATGAAGATGAGAATTCAGAATTTACTTAATATTATGCACATCACTTAGTAGCGGTGAGTTAAGGAAGGTAATTCCGTTGAACAGGATAGTCTCAGACTTAATTCAAGAGCTTCCAAAAGTCGATTTTATGCATGCCTGTTGCCCAAGAGTAGCAGATCAGCTTGCAGTACCTTTGTTGATGAACTACCTGGACTATCTTCTCCGATTCTCCCCTCCATTTGTTGACAAGCGTGCTGCAGGCGACGTTGAAAAATGTGCAGCGGCTCTCCGCGGCGAGGGCGCGCGCTAACAGCGTCTTGCCGGCGCCGGGCGGACCGTGGAGTAACACACCACGCCACGGCTCCAGCAGACCAGTGAATACCGTCGGATGCCTAACAAAGATGAGGTTTTGCACGTCACACTAATAATGACACGCAAGGGGAACTGTTAGAAGAACTAGAAAGATGACAACATAAATTAACCTTGAAGATGAAAACTTGATTCAAAGACTATAGTTACTTGAAAATTTTAGAAACCTTATTCTTAATTAAATATAATAGATAAGGGAAGGTCTTGCGTTCTGAAGCACACTTATAATAAATTCAGGTGACAGAGCCCCAATTAAATTTGTCGAATTTGTTTTGCCCCATCAAAAGTTTAGTATTATTTTTTATTTATTTATAGTAATAATAGCATAAGGATAAAAGGTGACAGGACAGAAATAGCGTCACTAACTATTTGACAAATTTTAAAGTTATACCTAACAGGGTAGACTACAGATTCTATGAGTATTCTCTTAGCGTCTTCCAAGCCTTTAACATCGTCCCAGCTCACCCCCGACGGTCGTATGATATCCTGGTACAAGATATCTACGAGCTGTTTCTTATCTTGCGACATATTGGCCACGAAGCCTGCTAAAGGCTTTCTTTCTATCGCAGGAATTGAACTTAGATCTTCTGGTGGTATATCCTGTACAGAAAGTTAAGTTAAGTTAACAGTTAAGTCATGTATTACGTTTGTTTGTAATTTTCCTCGTAGAAGGCAATGAGTAGACAAATTGCATATTGTCATATCGAAATATTGCTTAAGCAAATTACAAACGGTTGTTGTACACAATTTGACGGCGACATATATAATGTAAAGGACGTAGGGTAACTGTTGCTATACTCTCACGTCTCAGATAAAGTACTACTGTAAATCAAGTGATATTAAGTTATCACATGTGAGCTTCTCTAAGAACGGAGAGATTTGTGTTTGGAGACAGTAGGGAAACTTTAATACAAGAATTAGATTTCTCCCTCCGTCTTTTTTCGCGACTCCGTCCGCGTTGTATTAAAAAAAAAAAACAATATTAAGTAGCCTATGTGTTCTTCCAGATTATTATCTAAATCTATTCCAAATTTCATCAAAATCCGTTATGTGGTTTATGCTACAAACAAACAAACATCCATCCATCTAAACTATCGCATATAACATTAGTAAGAAGTAAGATTAATAAAATATCGTTAGTAATCCATATTTTTATATAAAACCTTAAATAACTTAGTAACGGTGAAGGTAGCCGGCAGATCAGGTTCCTCGTTGACCTCCGTTTCTGGTGGTAAGGGTCGTGGGGCTCGTGTGGGTCGAGCTGGCAAAGCGCGGGGCTCCACCACCTGGCGGCAAAACTGCGGCTGCTTGTTGAATCTCATCATATAGTAGCTGCAAAAGTCCTGAAACAAACCAAAATGTAAACGAAAATAAGAAAAATATTTAACTTAGAAACTGTATTAAGCAGACTTTAATGGAACTGCACTTTTATTTATCGAATTAGAGAAGAAAAACAAGCATTTCTAAGTTCGTCAGTTGAAATAATCAAGTAATGACGATTTCGATTGTTTATACCGCTTACAGTGGTAGTGCCCGCTTTAACATCTTAGCACTGCAGGGCCGGCA